GTCAAAAATGTCGTTGTACATATATATATATATATATACGGTCACCGCTAATTTTCCATTACTCTTTATGTTTCGATAATAGGAAAGTAAATCACATCAAATTTTTAAAAAACTATTAACAATACATTAGCTGAACACAATTATCTAATTATGATTGGTTATCTGCTCATAAATACTTTCTTTAAAAGTTTAAGAAAAAAAAAATGACCAGTGCAAATTTTTTTTGTTACGCAATTCATTTTTAATGCTTTACATATTTTATTTTTAATTAATTAATTAATTTAACTAGTTAAGTTGATAGTTCTATTTCAGAAAAAACATACTATTTTATATCCTATTTTTAATAAAAAATATTTTGTAAACAGTGCAAATTTTTAAGACATGAATAATTTTTTAATGTTAATTCTGCAAAACATTCCTGAATGCGAAAGAACCACAATAAAGCTTTTTAACCGTTTAAATACAGTACATAATTATTGAAAATAATTGAATATACATCTTACAATGCATATAAATTTTAAAAACTGACTTGTTATTACGTTTAGCAAATTAAAAATTTTGAACAAAAAATGATTCGTGAGGTATGCTCGTAAGAGAATATGCTTTCCAATTTTATTTCACTCCTTTTTATTTTTAAGAAGGATATTGTTTTGAAACATAATTAAACAAATAAACTTATCCTATATTTTATTCATTTACTTAACGATATATTGCTTTAAATATTCGTATAGATAAGCCAATCTAAAGTTTTATGAAAAGTTTTAAAACAGATTTTGAACGTGCTTTCCTTTTATATTATTTTATTTTCTTCAACATAATTTGCCACTACGCCTTCTCGAGAACATATTTCTAACTGTGTATTATGCTAAATGCGAAAATTGCTGCGTACATGGGATTAACTCGCACATGAATATTAAAAGCTTACGCAAACTTAAATTTCATTTACTCAAAACAGTGCTATCATGCTCGTGATGTAATATAACTTCATGCAAACTTAAATTGCGTTTACTGAAAGAGTTACGCTCATGATGCATATAACTTAAATTTTTATTCAATTTATTTGAAAATTTAGCAGCAAGTATATTACTGAAATAGTTTCTGCTGCATGGTAGTTTATTATGGATGCGTTTATGGTTTTAAAGGAATAAAATGATGAAACTTGATTTTTAAAAAAATGTCGTTCAATGTCGATGAATGTGGAAATGATGAATGTCAAAAATGTCGTTGTACATATAATTTTTCTAGTTTCTTCTCAAACTTTTACGTGAAGTAGAAACTGAAACAAAAATTTCTTCGCTATTAAATTCTTAGGTAAATAGGTTAACAACTATAGTATTGCGATCAGGGAAAACCTTTTTAAAAAAAAACGCAATTTAAAGTTTAGCGGAATCTTGTAATATTCTTGCTCATGTAATGCACGTAGTTGTACGTAGTACCCTCTAAATAGAATTTAATTTTTAAAAAATTGAATGATAAATCCTGATTTTTAAAGGAAGTGTCGTACGGTTACCAAAAGTTAAATGAAAGGTTAGTAAAAAGATAATATTTTTTTTAGAATATACCTACATAAAGAATATCATTATTTTTTATAAAAAATTTCTCTTAAAAAATTTAACGTGAAGCGGAAATTAGATCAACAATGTAGCTGTTAATTTATTTTTAATAAATTGGATAACAATTCTACGTTAAACCGAAATTACATAAATATAATATATAATATATAATAT